TAATACGCGAGCTGTCACGTGGTGAGACGATTAAAAAGACACGTGTAGGGCAATCGGAAGTTAGTTGAGATAAAACGGACAACATGTAAATTTATGTTGCGTTATTTATATTAAAATAACTATATAAAAAGCAAGTGTGAGAGTGCTTTTTACAAGGAATAAGAGCTAGCGTCTGTGATATAGTGTAGGTCTACGACGTACTGCTAATGAGTAATGCTCTGCTGAATGTCGTGGGTATTCTCCGGATTTATCCCACTAGAGGACAATGTGGAAAATGTGTTTTTATTTCTGGAAACTTGGGTTTAGGGCTGAAAATTTCTGCAAAAGATTGAAATACAGAAATGGTATCGCGTTAATCATTTCGATAATCAGATATTTAATCATTTAGACAACCAATTAGTCCAATTTTCAGAATTAGATCCAATGTAGAAAAATGTAGATCCCAAAAAATTTCTGGGAACTAGGTTCCCATGTTCCGATATTTTTTCCACCTCTGTGTTCCATGCACCAGCAGAATGGAAAGGGTGCCTTTGAATACATAAAAATAAATCCACGACTCATCAATGACATACCTGTACAAATATCGTTACTGGTTGAATTGTCAATGCACATTGCACACATGGCACAAAGGTAAGTAAACATGGACAATAAATCAATCAAATCCCCTAACATGAACATTTTGGAACATAATTTTGTTTTCTTTGTCACAAAGTAAATCAGATCCATGAAATATTTTAATTGTTTGTTTATTTTGCCTAGCTTTTCAGACACCTTTTTATGATTTCTGTTTGCGTAAATTGAAGATACTTTCTTCTTTCTTTTATTTTCTTAATTTCTAACTATTTTTAATAAAACTTTGTAAATACTTTCACATAATCTCCCGTCTAAGAATGTACTATTTATAGCGTTAATAATATAAATGGATTCAATCAACAAGCTTTTACCTCAGTAAAGAATTGTTCAAACAGTTCGGTCAACTCTTTCTCTAAACATTAAGAAATAAAATCACTATTAATTTTAGTTTAAATTTAATTTATGTAATCTTGTTCCCTAATTCCCTAAAATTGTTATTTAATTCCACCCGGCTATTTACCCCCGGGGAAAGGAAAGCATTGGTGCATATGTGGTGTTACGAAGCGTTTTAAGTTAAATTTTAATTTAAATCAAAACTCACAAAATGCAAAATAACATACCTACAGTATATACTTCGCAAAATTCATTGTTGTGTAGTTAAAAGTTCTAATCTGTCAATTATTTTGCCGTTTTGAACAAAAAAAAATTTAAAACTTAAAATCTCTTCAGGCACAAACATATAAAATGGGCACAACGCGAGCCTGCGTTCAGTGTTGGCCATTTCGGAATACTTCATGTTAATTCAATGTTTGGAAAATATGGGTGACGGGTTATGGCCATTTCGGAATACTTCATGTTAATTCAATGTTTGGAAAATATGGGTGACGGGTTGCTGCATGCATGTATTTCTGCATGCATGCAGAAAGCATGCATGTATTTCTTTTCTTTTTTTTAGTTTTATTTATAAGTACTGTAATCTTCAACGGCTCCAAGAGAACGATGTGAACAATGATCCGACACAAGGAACAAGAACGAGGGTATTTATACTTCATGCGACTGTTTATACTGGGTCACGCATGGACAGTTCAACCATAACGTTAACATGAAAAAATACACTGCACATGTGACAAGGAAGGATATGATTATTATACCTTTGTAAAACTTATTAATAATTTACGAAGAACATTTTTAAAATCAATGTTTAATGAGGTGTTGTATCCACATTTGGGAAGACAACAAAACACAAAAGAAATCATGACTGTGAAGGTAAGATTTTTCCCACCAAATTTCAATAATTTATTTTAAATTATTGAAGAATACGAATATTCTCATCAACACGTTTCAAGAGCCACTTACAACATTCGCGTCCGTGTTGTATCGGATATACAAACTCTCGCCTTTGGCAGGAGCTTTTATATCTGATACAACACGCCCGCTCATGTTGTAAATAGTACAGGTACATACATAATTTTCCTGAATTACATACAGGATAATGTTTTCCTCGATTTTCTTAGCCAAAACACAACTGTTGAAATATTTACGTTTCACAAGCCACATACATGCAGTGTGCTTCCCTGTTGTATCAGACATACAACCGAGGAGACATACAACCTCTCGCCTTCGGCTCGACTTTTTATATTTGATACAGTTTGTATGCTTCAATCGAATTTCCAAAACATTCATTCTGTCAACCTTGGTTGTTCACGAACGGAAAATAAACACATCTTACGTGAAATTGTCACCGCTCGATCAGTTCGATACTCTTCTTGCTCTTCATTCTGCTCGTCCGCCATAAAATTATATTCAGAGTCTTCGGTATCATCCGTGTCTGTCGCTCCTGTAAGACGAGAAATACAGTCATTTTAAATGAGATCAAACCTCGAGCAACATGCAGTATAGACTACATAGGACGCAATACATATATTTATATTGAATATTTATAGAATGTTCTGGAAAATTCCGTGTCAATAACAATAACAGTCTCCAACACATGCAACAACTAATTAATAAGAAAAACTTTTGTTTATTTTTGAGATGGAATAAAAAAATCAGCTACTGTTGTCGATGGCTTTATTATTTAGCATTATTAATTTTGCATTTTCCCATTGATTCGTAACTTGCATTTTTTATGTTTTCAAACTTTCTGGGGCCGGTTGTATCAAGCCCGTTTAGCTTAAACGGTGGTTAATCTCAAAATAGAAAACAAGTCTATAGATTCATTCAACAACAAAACTAAAAGTTTTGAACTTTAATAGAACGATAATATTTAGTGCATAATATTTAAGTTGACTGATTCACGAAAGATATAAAAGTGTTATTTAATTTTGACTTATACACCGTTAGCTAAACGGGATTGATACAACTGGTCCCTGGACGATAGGCCGTGACTAATGGGGGCCCCGAACTGTCGGGGGCCCTAGTTTTTTAACTAACCCTACCCAATGAACGTTACGCCACTGTGTGTATATAATGTGTAAGTCAAATAAAAACAAAACGCTTTTGTAAACAATAGTAAATTATATGGCATTCCAGTATATAATGTGTAAGTCAAATAAAAAAAACTCCTGCATATGTAGATTTTAGAGAACGTACTGTATGGTGGTGCCGCACAGTGTGATAAACTTCAACTCAGCAGAACACAATCTCCACATACAAAACGCTTTTGTAAACTAAATAGTAAATTATATGGCATTCCAGTATATATTTCAAAGATGTAAGAAAATTTCCTGTGAAGATATTTTGTTAAACATTTCCTGGCTGCGATGTTGCTGGACATTTTCCAGCACTGTTATGAAGAGAACATTTTCAAATCAACACGAAGCAGTGAGTGCTTGATTTTATAAATGATTGGTTTATTTGTCATTTGTGCTGACGTAATGATTCATAGACACCTTAAAGCCGGTTTTCCCCTTCGCCCGTATCGTACCGAAACGTACTGGTGAGCATGCGCAGATTGAAGAGGTTTATAAATCCACGTACTTCCGGGTGTATTCGCGTATCAAAATAAAAAGTTCGTCGCAAGTCAGGTTTTTGGCGTACTACGGAAGTACTAACAAACAAGGGTGGATTCACTACAAAATTTTTGTAGTTCGCTATAACTACAGCTACTTCAAAAATATGTAGTCAGCTACAACTACTGCTACTTTTGAACAAAGGTATTTCGCTACTGACTACAGCTACTGCTTAAAAAATGTAGCGAACTATTTCGCTATTTCGCTACGCTATATTTTTTAGTTTTACTGTATTTGGAGCATCTATACTAACTCAGACTGTAATGTAACCTATAACAAATCGACTTACGAGTAGCAACAGTAAACACAAAGCAACATTTTTGTAATCACTACAGTGTTCAGGAGTGCAAATTGACTATTGAGTATCGATTTTAAGCAAACCGTGTCTCAATATCATGCTATTCTATCAAGTTGTTAACAATTTTTAAAAGTAGCGAATGGCGATTTGCTGTTTGAAAAGTAGTCAATATATAACTACAGCTATACTGTTTTAAAAATGTAGTCAAAAACTACTGGCTACTTGAAAATTGTAGTTCGCTACAGTAGCGAACTACAACTACTTCGCTACTACCCACCCTTGCTAACAAATCAACATACACAAAATTTTGAAATTTAAAAACGTTTTTGATACGTCTCGGTACGGTACGCTTGAAGTGGAAAACCGGCTTAAGTCTTATAAACTGAAACATTCAATAACATAATAACATTGTATGGTGTGTGCCAGTGTAGGTACTGTTGTGGCAATAATAAGAAAGCCTCAGATAGATAGGGATGCAACTACCTGAAAAATACAAGGAGAACTTCGACGTTTCGAGCGAAGGTCCTTCGTCGGCCCTATTATGCAACTTCCCAACGAAGTTTTTCATGTATTTTTCAGATAGTTGCATCTCTGTCAACCAAAGCTTTCCCAACATGCATGACTGTGTACCTTTTTCAGCATTAAGACCAAACAACCATTTCTGCCAATCAATATCATCTTGTTCTAAATCTTCCAAATTGATGATATCGTAGAGATCCGGAGTGAGGTCAGGAGGAATAAACTGAGCTGGATGGGAAATAAATAACATGACTTAAAAAACTCATTAACAATTCATGAAGAAAATACAAAAGAAATGAATGTTTAATCAATGTTAAACTTTGTAAATCGGATAAAGATTTATCCTGATTTACATAAACTTCAGCTCTGATTTTCTCGGCTTAGACAATGTTTATTTTTAAAATTACTTCGCCAATGAACCCATAAGATGGGTCGTTTTTAAGCACGATAAAACATTCGCATCCGATCTTTATCTGATATACATACAAACTCTCGCCATATCAGCTAAAGATCGGCTGCTCATGTTTTATCTAGTACATAAAGCCCTGGTCATGAAAGTTGATGAGACTCGTGAGAGTTGGTGAGAATTGATGTAAGTTGATGAGAATCGATATGAGTTGATGTAAGTTCACGTTAATAAAATTAAAGTTAATAAAATAACTGTGGTTCATGAGAGCCGTCGATGAGAGTTGATGAGAGTTGATAAGAGTTGATGTAAGTTCATGAGAGTTGATAAGAGTTGATAAGAGTTGATGAGAGTTGATGAGAGTTGATAAGAGTTGATGAGAGTTGATAAGAGTTGATGTAAGTTCATGAGAGTTGATGAGAGCCAATGTGAGTTGATGGGAGTTGATGTAAGTTCATGAGAGCCGTCGCTGAGAGTTGATATGAGTTGATGTGAATTGACATGAGTTGTTAAGCAAGGTCTCAAGCATGAGATTTTCCCCAACCATCGTGCCCTGTTAAAACGATCCCGGTTTACCGGAAAGCTCGCCTGAATGGGATGAATTATCCCTGTGTTCATATGACTGTTCCATACTGTATTGTATTTTCCGTCAAAATGGGAAAAATGTCCATTCCGGGCACGTGGGACGAAGCATTCATATGGAACATTTTATTCCACCTGACGGAGACCATCTAGCGCAAGGTGAGATCTCACCAAGCCAGGCTGGCTCGTTTCTCATATGAACACAAACTGAATTTTACATGCGTTAACACTGGGTATGGAGATCTCACTCAAGTGAGTTTCCTGGTTAGCTGGACTCACATGAACAGACCTAAGGGACCGATTACATGCAGAGTTTTCAGCCCGGTTTCCCGGCCTGAAATTTCAGCCCGGCCTATAAGGATAAAATCCTATTAAACCACAGCAAACGCTTACATGACAGAAATTTCAGCCCGGGATGAGTTTCAGCCCAAGCTGAAGTTTCAGCGCGGTTGATGCCACCCGGGCTGAAAATTTCATTCCGGTTGACCGGACTGAAAATCGTCATGTATAGTCGACGGGAAATTTCAACCATGGTTGAAAAAACATTTCTGTCTGTTCTATTATTTTTAAATGCAACCACAGTCTCGCAGAAGTCAAATTATAGACATGAACAACTACATTTTAAATTCTTCGAAGAAGCGGAATAGCTCCGTTTTGAGATTTGACCGTTTCAGCGCGGGCTGAGATTTCACCCAGGTTTGAACTGACATTTTAATTCACCCCGGGCTCAACTTTGCCATGTAATCGTGAAGCAATTTCAACTCGGTTAACGGGGTTGAAATTCAGCCCGGGCTGAAAACTCCCTATGTAATCAGCCCCTAAGAGCGCATCAGGACAGAGGTACTTTACCTTCTATACTCTGAAGACTCGTATCAGTCAGTGGAAGTCTGGATCTTGTTCTTGTGGCAATCAAGTCAGTCTTTGCGGTTTCTTTCTATAAAACGCAATTTATTTCAAGCAGTTAGATAGTGATAAGAATTTGGCAAACGAGATTGACTAATAAACTGCACGCCCCCTGTGGAAATCAGCTTCGGTTGACAGGGTTAGCGTTGGTAAATAAAGTTTTTCTATCTTCTATCTACTAATAAAAATGTCGAACACCTTTGAAAGACAATCACTAAATGATAAAGGAACTCGTCATTACATAATAGGACAAGGAAATGACGTATGAGAGTTTGGATATAATGTTAGACAGTTTGGATTTGACAAGGAGTACTTTCCCTTCCAGGCAATTATATAGCCTTTCTCACGGTCGATTTTCCCGCCACTTTGGGGGTACTGCCTCTCCCACGTTTGCCGTCTCCGCAACACGAAATGCAACTTTTTCGTATTGTAGTTGTTTGTATATAATGGTAAAGTTCAGTTACAACTTTTAAAAATCACTTTTCACGTTGTTTGAATTGTCTAGAATCTTTCACGAGGGCAGACAGTACCCCAAAATGGCGAATTTTGGCCTTCGTGAGAAAGGTTATACTGTACTGTAATTCGCTATTTTTTGACAAAGCCACCATCATTAGCTGGAATGTCTTCCTCTGCCCCAATAAGAATAGTCAGACGGAATTAGTACCCTCAGGACTTTAGCCCGGGGAGGTACTCTGTAGAGCTCCTGGCAGAGACAAATGAATACAACTATTGTCTCAATAAAACTCTTACCTTCTCGGCTGATTTCGTCAGTGGTAAAGGAACTTTAAATGGCGAAGGAAGTTCTTCCTCTTGATCTGGAAAATATTAACGACGCTGGTAATGTCAATTACAGGTAGATCCCAGTCACTCAGGCACAAATTTAGCAAGGGTAGTTAAATTTAATTAATGGTTTTGAAATACATGAACAAGTAAACATCTGCGATAAAAATTAACCTTTGGAAGTTCATACCGACTCTATTCAGCTCAAGGTATAGAAAAAGTCTGGCAGTTCATTGAAAATGTTATATAAATCTAGCTATAGTATTCAATAAACTCGCAGACTTCTCATGCACCTTGAGAATGGAGTCAGTATACGATTTCGAAACGTTGTTTTTTATGCTAGTGCATGTTAACTTACAGTTTAGGCGTTGGAAAAAATATTTCTGTAACCACTGTAACAAAACTAAAGATTCTCTGCCAATATTCCAGCGTGCGGCTTACTAAGTACGAACGGAAAACGAAGGGTACTCGACTGAATATGACCTAATTTATCTACCATACATTGTTTATCTACCATCACTGGAATCGAGGGAAACGGTATGTTTTGTGGACTCGAGCCATTCCTTCACTTTATTCCTCTCCTTTATTTTTTCTTATTCTACTTTCTGGGAACTTGGCAATTTTTGGAACCAAATGGTCATCGGTCTAATACTTTTTAGTTTTCCCACCCCTGCTAATCACGCTCATGAGAAAAAACGGGCAAAAAATGTGGGTATGTATAAATGTACCTGTTTTTAACGCAATATTCTCGTCCTTTTGAGAATCATCTGGTTGAGGACTGCTGACGGAATCATTCAATAAACGTCGCTTGGCACGTGATGTACGACGCAATGGCTCAGGAGACGAAATATCACTACATAAAACACAATCGGGAAATATAAGTCTGTTTCAGTGGAAAAATGAGAAGCTAGAAATTCTTCCTTCAAATATAATTTTATTCAAGAATATTGTGATGTCTAAACTCCATTGAATACAAAAATACCCAATTCAAAACTAAAAAGAATGCTTTTATTGAAATTGAACACAACCGTTATGTTTAATCAATGATTTACGCTTCTCGATCACCTCCAGGTATTGAATATGAATCGTCGCCTTGTGGTGTTGACGAGTCTGCGTTGAGGTATAGCCATCCATTCCTCCAGCAATTAACAATTGAGCTAAGTTAGCCAGAGTGCAACCGGCTTCTTCTCAACTGGCTTCACATCTGGCGAGTTACCAGGCCACACTATAGCCTCACCGGGCAAGAACTCAGTAACTGAATTCACCATGTGTGGGCGGACGTTATCGTCCATTGTTAACATCGTTAACATGTTAATTTTGCAGTTGGATATTTTTGTATTCGTTGGAAGTTAAGTCAGTCTCTTAAGCATGAGTGACGTACTTCATACAGCATTCAGCAAACTACCATAGACCTAATTAGTGTTAGATGTGATTATCAGGGACTAATTTGTTTAGATATCTTATGCTGATATATGTAGAAGGGGGGACTGTGCTTAAATTTGTAGGCCTTCGCCCAGCCAGGTGCGCTCGATTTGGTCAGGTGCAGGAAACCCTGTTATTTATTTACACAATTTAGAGATTTATTAAATGACTAAACAGTCCGTAAACATATAGTATGTTTAAAGTCGTTATCACGAAACTCATTTGTGCAAGTACTGTAAATGCTTGATTATCTGTGGTTGTCATAACAGTGCAAACATTTGTCTGACTAACTTATATATATTGGGATACCTCAATATTAATGGTTATACTTCTTGGTTATTTTATCTGATCTTCCTTCCTACCATAGTCTGGTTTATGAAACCAAGATCTGGTTAATATATTTGACCAGGATGACCTGGTTAAGTTAACCAGACTATGTTAGGTGGACAAATAACCGGAAGCCCCTGGTTATTTATCCAACATACTCTGGTTAATCACACGATATACGTATAATTTACAAGGCTAGCTTTGTTTATACCTGGTATTAGAGACACAACTTTCAGAATCATCTTCACTTCCATCCTGCAGAAATAAATTTCTCAGAAATTTCTTACAAGTCACTTAAGAATTTACCCAATGCAAAATTCCTATACACTGTGATCACAGAAACTTTGATAGTGTAAATTACCAGCCTTACAAGTCGAGACACTTAACGGTGGAAAAAAATAAAACAGAATCCAAACGCCGGAGTGTAGCCTATAATGAAAGAATTCGTATTCTGCCAGTTTATTATACGATCAATTAAATAGTTGCATGCACGATCTCCACAATTAAAGTCTACCCAGATCTTGATATAAGAATATCTCACATAGATATTCTTTTAAGGGTTCTATTTAATTTTCAGTTCTACTAACAGACATTTTCTCGAACTACAGTACTGGCCAATTTTGCACTTGAGTCCTTAGATATGTATATCCTTGCAAGTTGTTATGTTGAAAAATACTGACCAAAAACTATACGAATACCATACTCACATCGTTTAAAGGATCGTATTCTTCGTCAGATGATCCACCTTCAGAGAATTTGAGATCAGCTAAAAGTACCTCAACCTCCTGTTAAAAAGATAACCAAAGAACAATGCAAACACGTTTGAACCAAATTTACAGTACAGAGCAGCCTATAACTTGGCAGGAAAAGGAATTAAGCTAAACCGAAGTACCTGTATATTTAAGTATGTTGGTTGGCTGTCTCATTAACACAATGTGCGATAGGTGTACAGTAGTTGTATAGATTGTTGGCAGGTTAGTCAATATTACGGTCTGACACTTCTTTGTTGTCACCAGCGACCACGTAGTAGGTACCAGATTTGCTCAAAGTCTCTCTTTCATTGTCATATAGTATCGGTCCACTATAGTGTACATTACATGACGTAGCACGGAGAGGCGGAGCGAGAAAGAGAGACTTGTCAACTTCGGAAAATCTCGGTTCAAAACTGAACCGAAAATGCAAGACTTGCTTTAATTGTTTTCCTTCAATTTCTTTCTGTATTATTTACTATAATGGAACTCATGTTATTTACACTGTGCTAGATCAATACATAATAAATACTCAGTATACTCATTTTAAAGTAGAATACAAACGTATGTTATTAGAAGATTTTTTAACCGAAAGTGGTTTTTAACAGATTTATAGAATATTTTAGAACTATAGCCTACAGTATATGTTATACCTTAGGTCAAAACTCAAAATTAATTTTTAGATATTTTAGATATAGAATTTCATATTTGTAATTACATCCTGAAAAGCCCAATTGGGAGTATCTAATATTGTATAATAATAATTAAAAAAAAAACTGACAGAAAACAATTAAAGCAAGTCTTGCATTTTCGATTCAGTTTTGAACCGAGATTTTCCGGAGTTGACAAGTCTCTCTTTCTCGCTCCGCCTCTCCTTTCTACGTCATGTAATGTACACTATAGTGGATCGATACTATATGACAATGAAAGAGAGACTTGGAGGCCTAGCGCTGGACTCTCGCTATCTGAGTACTTACATTTTGCTATAGTACCATGAGACCAGCCAACGTTTTTAATTCAAGGTGTTCAAAACCGTAATTATAAGAAATGTGTTAATCTGACATGTCTTGGCATAAATATGGTTGGACTGATGGGACAAGACGGACTTGGGAGTGCATGCGTGTGTACGCAATGGTGCTCTTTCTTGTTCTCACTCGTAGTTTCAGGTTACTGAATAAATACCTTTCATACAGAAAACTGTCTTTTATGCACCTTACAGTATCTTGAAGACTAATTACAACTTGAGTCTTAATTTTATAAGTTTGTAGCATTTCAAGTACGTTACAATAATCATTGGAGTACTAGACGTGTAGTAGAACAAAAAAGCTATCGCACCCTTTGTAATCTATAAGTAACTGTGTTTCTGCAAGGGCCATTTGTGCATGTATGCTCCAGCTTTACTAGTATTAAGCTGGGGGAAACCTGCAGTGTGCCTTAGAGCAAAACTCCAAGCACTCTTCTTGCGCGAGAGACGTCATACTGTACTTACATATAATCATGTAACATCTACTACTATTGGAATCGGACCATGTCCGTAGCAGGAAGTGAAAGGAACATGCATCAACTACTATACATGTGTGACCATGCATCATTCATTTCACTAGCTCTATGCATTAAAAAACCCTATACCAATGTTTGCTTAAAATCTCATTAAAACAGATTCGCACTACTTGCAGCCCGGTCAAACGAGGATGAGAGTTGGTGAAAGTTGAGAAGCGAGAGTTTGCATCGGAGTTTTCTCAACCCTCGTGCTCCGGTCAAACAAACACAAGAGTTGCGTACGAGTTAAGCGCCATACAGAGGAGCAGGGTTTCCTCGACAAGTTTTATTTGCCCGTGTGTACGGATTTTCCTTGCCAATAGACAACTTGCATGTTAAATTCCCGTAAAGAACTTATTAAAATTAGTAAAATTGCAACATTTGGTTACGAAATGTTGTAAAAACAGAAAATATAGTCTAACATGCGAAGTTTGCATATTTTGTCTAGGTTTGTATTACGTGCGGAAATTTTTACCATTGTTGAGCTTCGGCTCAACAATTTCGGTAACAATTTCCGCACGTAATACAAACATATTATACAAAATTTGCAAACTTTGCAAGACTATAGAGTACATTTTCCAAGCTTTACAACATTTCGCAACCAAATGTTGCAATTTTTCTAATTTCATTATGTTCTTTTTAGCTGTGGTGTTTGATTCCCTTCTCTTCACTTAGATTAAAATGTAGTCTATTTCCATTAAGGAGCCTTGTTCTAAAGCTAAAAGTACTCATGCATGTCAACTTTTGGACAAGGAACATTTGTTCGTGTGTATACGGCCTCCAAGGAAAATAAACAAGTGTGCAAGAAATACTTGTTTTGGCAAACAAAATGCGACCTTGACATGAGATAAATGTTTAACATTCCGAACACACAAGCAAACAAAACTTGTCAGGGAAACTTATGAAAAGTGTCAAGGAAAACGTCAACCTATATTATTTTATATTTCATACCGGGATAATTGTGGCGTCTTCTATGTGTTCGCCGAGTTTGGTAGGTGAGTTGATTTTCTCAGGAGTTTTACGTTTCAGTTTGAATGGAGAGATAACATTCTTGACTGGTGAATGTATGATTGTCTCTTTCTAGAAACAAAAGTCCAGTAATAACGTTAAGTCGGTTACGAAAATACAATGGAGTTAAAAGTCCGCAGTCAGGGATCGAAGTAGAGAACAAAATAATATGGCCTGCCGGTATAAAAGTTTTTGGAATTCTCGCGCAATAAGGTTCAGTCTAGTCTGGTATGAGAAGTGCATGCAAAGCCGGAGCTTTACAAATCGAAGCTACAGTATATTCATGATGCAGTGCCGTAGCCAGCCCGACAATACGCTATGCATATTCAAAATTATTATCATTATTCATTTCTTCAGAAATTGTGGATTGTTTTTACAGTCAATGAACACGAAAATGTTTGCATAGCGGGACTAAATTGTCGGGCTGGCACGCTACTGTTCATTATTTCTTGACGAAATTTAGCGCTCTTAATTTTAGACACAAGTTTAAAAGTTTGATTACTGCACTGTGAAGTGTGTTCTGAATCTGGGACCTTATTAAAGCAACGACGTTTTAGAAATTAACTGATTCCACCGTGTGTAAAAGTGGAGATATTTTACTAACACAATGGATTAGCCGCTCCAAAAACATTTTTCCACTAGCATTTTTTTTCACCACTTTGTCAAGTAAAGCGATTTTCATCAACTGGCTGGCTAAATACAATAAGTTGTAATTCTCGGCAACGATTGCCGAGGGCATCAAGTTACAACTGTGTTGCAGCGCATGATACACACGAGATGTTATGTTTAGGTTACAAGTGCGATTATTTTTCATTGCGTTGCCTGCGCGAAAGAAATCACACATGTATCAACGTGTATCATGGTCTGCGCGGCAACGCAATTGTAACTTGATATACCATCGGCCATCCTTGCCCAAAGTGTCGGATTTAACTTTCGGCAAGGATTGCCAAAAATATCAAATTACAACTGACTATATTTAGTCAGCCAGTCAATGAAAATCGCTTGACTAAATCCAGTGCCGTGGACTAGTTAGGGACCAGTCACTATTTATAGCGGGAGGGTGGTAACGAAGAGAAAAGGGTTGGGTAAACAAAAATTTTGAGTAAGTAAAA